CATAGTGGATGCAAACAACTAACAACTTTGGAGCCAGCAAGGAGATGGATTGTCCTTTCTTCAACCAGCCAGCACCAGCTGGAAAGAAACAAACCTCAGGATCTGAAAATCAGCTGTAATTCCAAAGGCTTATCCAATTTTCCACATATATTATTTTCTTTAAAACAGGCAAAGTAAGTAGTAAGTCTTGCTTCTACTAGCAAGCAGTAATTCTGGCTACAAACCTGGCCTCATGTGCATGTTCAAAACATCACAGCTACACACACAGAGATAGTATTGATTTTCCTTTTTTTCTTCTTGGCACAAAAGCAGATGGAGATGATGAACGAGAGGACAGTGCCCCTTGCAATAACAAAACACTTAGTGGTCACTTCTGACCTCCTGGGTGCTGCCCTCCTCTTTCATTCTGGTGGGAGTCACTGCCCCAGGTGCATCAGCCTTGCATGGAAATTTGTAATCTCTTTCAGGTTACCTGGATAAGCTACATCTCTGTCTGACCAAAACCAGCACTCTGGACTACAGAAACCTTCCCTGCTGACAGAGTCAAACATCTATAAAAATACAATGAGCATTTTTGGACAAATCACATATCTCTTCATCATATTGCCAATATTTGGTCTTCATTACTGAAGACTTCCTAAGAAACCTGGGGCAGTTCAGGGCAAGAGAGGAAGGGAGAAGAAGGATCATCAGTAAGATTTTTCCTGTTTGCTCAGGTAAAGAGGGGCATTTTCCAGTCAGTACTACCTTTAGCTCTTAATTCACCCTCTCCCTAAGCACATTCTTGGGCAAACCCCAGTGTCAAAACATATGGATGAGAAATGCCTTTCAGCCAAAATCAGAAAGAAGTGTTGCATGAAACCAACAAAATGAAAGCACAAACCTCTAATTATTTTAATATTGGATAGTGACAGCGTTGTTCTGTGTTGGGAGTACAAACAACCCTTGGCCACAGGTCACAGTTCATTGCTCTTTTAGAAAACATTGGGGTTGGTACAGTGCTGTCCCTGGGCAAACCACTCAGGTAATTAAATAAAGCAAGCTTTGTTATAAATCAGATGAACAAACATACACACAAGCAAGCAATGGATAATGCTTTGTTGGATGGGCAGAGCTCGCTGGGTGTTGTCTCAGGATCATTCTCCTCACCCCAGAAGGTGCTTCTGCAGAGGGCTGGCTGTGCCACCCTGGGGTGCCCTGGGGTCACAGAGTAACTGATAATGACGGGGTTTATTCCCAAAGCACTGTGTCTTGGTAGTGGTGCAAGTGTCCCCAGGGGCAATGATGTGCCGTGCTGCCATTGCAGGGGGAAAAGTGTCATTAGCAGGATGTCATCTCAGGGAGCAGGGAGAGTCTAAGTATGTAGGAAAGCGTATCATGCATAAAAGGAGAGACAAGAGAAAAGAAAGAAGGGAGGGGAATGAAAAATGGGTGAAACACAAGAGAAGGAAAGACTCACCCATGTGACTGTTATTGCTGTGAAGCACATGTCCAGCATATGCTGTGTTGGGACCACCAGTGCATGATGGTGCAATGCAGTGAATACATTCCCAAAGAGTGCAGAGAGCCTATTTCAAAATTTCTCCAGAATCACTTCCATTCCACCTCTTCAGACTCATAGGTATCCTTAATATAAAAACCTTAACTTGCCCCATTCAGCCACTGAAAGTAGTTGTTTTCTGGCTGTCTCAGATCTGGTTCAAGTTATGAGCCTTTTTGTACTGAGCTGTGTCTCAGCTTTCTCAATACCCTTGCTGTGCAATGAGCTCTTTGTGGCCTAGGTCATGTGGGTCTTGGATACTCCAGATAAAGGAAAACCTGAATAACGCTGGTAGTGCCATTTACACCTTCCTGTTTCTACCTTAACAGAGCATCTGCATGCTCCTGGATACAGGCAGGCAGGTTCAGCTGGGCACCTGCTGCAAGAGAAGCAGGGGCAGCTGGTGCTCCAGGCCAGGTTAACTACAATGCCCAAGCACATGGAACTTCTCAGAGCCAGCTCATCTCGGAAAAGGCTTCTTAACAGCAGTTAAATTTCCTAACAGCAGTCTGTTCTCAGGAAAATCAACCTCCCTTTTCCTCAGTTGAAGGGAACATTAAGAGCAGCAAGAAATAACTTGTGTCAAAGTGGAATAAATTAAATTGAGTGGAGTGTCACTGTGTACTCAGAACAAAGCTGTGACTTCATAGCAATCACTTAAGTTTTGTACAGGAATAGATGGGAACAGAGCTGCCTTGCTCCTTTTTCCACATTGTATCAACAGCAAAAAGGCCATATTTCCTTAGTGCACAGCAGCCAAGCTCCAAATGGGGCAGATCAATTAATAGAGTAAGTGGGCAGTCAGATATGCCCTTCAAAAACTGGCATGGGGCCATAATTCTTCAGTATCTCACATTGCACCACTCGGGGAAATTGTGGGGCTGGAACTGTTTTCATTACTATCATGATGAACAAGATTGTTCACATATTTACAGTTCCTCTCTCAGTTCCCATGTACCACTGTAACTGGAAAATTAATCAAGAATATATGGCTAAAAGGGTAGAATTAAAAGGAGGATCAGAGCTGGTGTACAGAAAGTCAATATAATCAGGAGACATTGATCAGTGGAACACAAAATGTTTTCATTGCCTTAAAAGTCAATATTGCAGGGGGAAAAATAGATGTACACAATCGTATACACTCAGCTTAGCTACTAAACCCTTCACAGACAAAGCTCAGTGTTTTTAAGTGTTTTAGAGGTTGCTTGCTTTCATTTCTTTTGGGTGAGTCTGTCACTTTAGAAAAGCAGGTAGGAGTCAGGATGCCTGGTGTTAATACAGATTTTTATTACGTTCTTTTTGGCATTCTTCCTGTGTGTCACAATGAGCACAGAATTCATCAAAGACTGAATGTAGATCCTACTCAATAATAAGCACATCTAAAGATATTCTTGAGCCAATAAAAGAACAGAGTTCAATATAGCTTACTAGTATTTTATTTTTTCTGTAGTGGCTAAAAGCACTAGTCTTTGGTTAAGCCCCAGAACACACAAGTGTTATACTAACGTGGGTGAAAAAACTGAACTTTCCCCCAACATTTTAAAACCTACATTGTTGACAGACAAACTTTGGAAAGTGCAGGAAAGAAAATGAAAAATGTCAGTAAAAGAATGTGTAATGCTGGGGACACAGTATAAGTGAGAAACTACAGATGTGAGGTTTGCACATCATCCTGAAGGAGTATGAGCCAGGCAAAACCAGAGAAAAGCAGAATCAAAATGCAGGATGCTGAGTCCAGCTTAGGGTGTTGGGTATGTGAAGATGGGAAAGGTGGTGCCTGAGAGACATTATGGAGTTAAAGTCTATAAAAACTCCAAGCAACCAGGATATGAGATTTAGGAGCAGGGTTCATCTTAAGTATCATTATGAAGTTCCCTTATTTGCTTCTTAACTCTCTACATAAGCTGGCAGGTCCCTCCAGTTGCTCCAGCTGTCAGTACAAATTGCTGATGGTCTTCAAGTTGTTCTAAAGTTAATTCTTCAGCTGCTTTAAATGTCACTAGACCTGGTGCCTTTGTCCTGTCTGAAGATTGTATGACACTTGCTTTGTTCCTTTCCCTTGGGGTTGAAGCACTGTCACAAAAGACATGGTTAAAGGCTGTTGCTGCTGATGTGAGTTGAAGTTTGGGGCATTGGATTCAGTGAGTTCGTTCAGTTTTCCTCGTTATCATCTTCATTTTAATGAAGGTTCTTTGCCTGAGATCCCTCTCAGATCACTTAAGATTTTCACTGGCTGTGAGTCAGTGATTATTTGATATTATTATTTATATTAAATATTCAACCAGAGACTGAATTCCTGGTGCTTTTGCAGTCACTCTGCCATGCTGGTAGTCCTCCTGGATGTGATTCATCTGACAGCAAACTCTGACATCTAGACCCGAATAAGTGATGAGGTTCTTTTACCATTAATGATTTACTGTATCCCTACAGTAATTCCTAAAATAGATCTTGTGATTTTTCTCCTTAGAAGTGTCTGTTTCTCTCACGAGAAATAAGACAGCCTAGGTTGACATCTACACCCAAAGTCACATGAGATGAATTCCTCCCTTCACAACCAATCTTTCCTAGAGAGTTTAGAGGATGAAGGTGAGAGGTGAGGATGCAGATGCTTGTCACAGGAGGGATGTTTTCAGTTGAAGGGAGGGATCTGAGTACATTCCCAGCACAACTGGGGCCAAATCTGACCTACCAAGTAACATATATATTTCTATGTTTTGAAGTTTGGACATATTTAACAGTTATTATTATCATCATCACAATTTCTACAAAAGAAACACCCTTTCTCCTCATATGAGTCTTCTTCCAGTTCAATTTAATGTCATAATATTCTTCACTGTGTTTTACATTTCTTGGCCCATCCCTAGTGTCTCTTCTACCTTTATTTTCTCCACTGCCAAAGCAAAATTTCAGTTTCCCTTCCATATTCCCACTCTCTCCTCCTTGGAATAGTGTGGGGTTTTTGTTTTGCTCCTTCCCTTGGTCACATGCCTCTTTTCTCCCCAGCCTGTGTGTCCTTCTTTCTCCTTTTTCTCCTGTCTTACTGTGAGTCTTCTTCCCTTCCCATCCACATTCTCCTCACCTAACTCTCCCAAGAGCATGCTTTGGAGCATGTACTGAATTTTAACAGCCACAGCCCGGTGTGCAGAAGGTGACGCCACACCAGTGGCCAGACTGCTGTGCCATCACCTCGTGCTCCAACAACATTTTCTGCCAGGTACTCATTGTTCCCCTGCCATCTCCTGCCTTTCCTCTTCTGCCAAACTCCACACAGTTGAAATGGTAACAGCTGTAAAAAGGTCTCTGCTGCTCCGATCCACGTGTCCCGGGGGCTGGGGCATTGACCATTGGAACACTGCCTTAAAATAATCAATAACCGCGGGTGACACGCCAGCCTCACACTGGCCAACCAGGGATAACTTGGGGTATTTCCTCATTCTCAGGGAGAAACAGCTATTTGTTTAATAGAGGCCGTCGCCCAAAAACCTCGCTGTGCCTCGCTCAGACGGCCACACTCCAGGAGAGAGGAGCTGCAAAGCCTGAAGCCGGCTGTGGGGAACTCTGGAGGCCATCTTAGCCCTGCTTAGAAGGTAAGCAAAAGTATTTTCATGCTTACTGTAGCATTATAGAGCAAAACTTTCTAAAAACCTCACTAAAAATTAGAAGCTTGCTTTAGCCACCTTGCTTAACGAAGCTGTAGAATGTGCTTTTGTTTGGTTAATTAAGAAAGTGGTTTAAGTGCTTCTGGCAAACCGGAGTGTTTTCCTAAGCTGTAATAACACATGCAGATCCTCTGATGTGCGCAGGTGGCAAGGCGGCATTGATTTTGGTGGTAGAGGCTCTCACTAGGTCTGGTGATTGTTGTTTAGGTTAAGTTCTCCCTGCAGTTTGAAGTGGTATTGAGATAGGTCAGAGAGAATGGGCTGGAACCCCCAGTTCTTCCAGACAAAGCAGCGTCATGGTGCTTTGTGCCGTACAAGAATTGGGCCCTCCAGCGATGTACGAAAGATGCAGAAGAGAATTTATAGCTCGGCTACAAGGGTCAGCTTTTGTAGAAGGACGTTAGGCTGTGCCTGTGCTTGTTGGCTTCTTTCTGGGGATGGGAAGTAGCTGAGGTTGGGCAAACAAATGGAAAAGCTAAAGCTGAAATTAGATGGGAAAGCAGGTAGGCAAGAGTCAGTTAAAAAAAATAACCTAGACATTGGTTATTTGAAAGACAGGTGAAATATCCAGCATTCTTTCCATTTTCTTCCATTCTTGTTCCCCACTTCATCTTTCATTTGCACATTGTTGGTCTGTTTAGATTTTTATCTGTTTGAGCCAAGGTTTTTCCCAAATGCTTGCAAAATGCTTTGCCAAATATTGAGCACCGTGTAAACAACAGGTAATGACCATAAAGACAGTAGTATATCTGTTAAAAATGATCCCATCTAGAATAGTTCAATGCCTGATAGCTTATTTTAAAGATGGATTATAAAGCTCAATATGACTGCAAAGTTCTCAGAAGAAAAGGCATATAAACGCAGTGTTCTTGTTGAGCTCACAGCAGCAGAGAATGATGCAATTTTTTTGCTATAGAAATTCAAACTCAGAAGTCATCTCTGGCAGCCACAGCTGCTTCACAGCAATATATGGCACCCTATAAAGTCTTTCTGTTTTCCCTCTCAGTTGAAGAGGTTTGAGGACATCTCACCTGTTATCTTACCTTATCTCTTCACTGTCTTCATTCTATCACCAAAGTCTGTTTTAGTCTGTCTTTAGCTTTCTCAAATGGCTTCAAGCTACCGTTCACCTGGGCATTTTTTCTTGCTTGAGAATCCAACCCTGATTGATTTCTGTGTTCCCAGTTTGCTTAATACCTTCTCCACACCAATCTTTGTCATAAAACTTTCTGAATTAGCCAATGCACATGAGTAAATTGAGGGACATTTCACTGCTGACTGCCACAGTTATTACAGAAATTGTTTGCACATAACAAGCAAAGGCATCTGCATATGCATGTCCACATCTTTTCCTTTTTCTTGTATTTCCTAACCTATTCACAGGCAAGCAAAGCCCTTTTTGTCATAAACTGACAGTTCTCTCTGAGGACAGAAATAGACAGCTTGATATTTTGTATTTTCACATACATTTTATATTTTTATGAATTTGAAAGCCTTGAGCTGGATGATAAAACATCACGAAGAAGTTGTGATCAGTTTGTGCCATAAAATTGAAGGTAGTATGTAAGTTCAATAATCTCTGACCCAGTAGTCTGAAATTTCTAAATGACATGGAGATTTATCTGTGGATCCACTTTTGTACTGATCAGGCTTTTCTCTCTGGCTGTAGATCACAGCACGGGTGTAGTGTGAGCTGAGGCTGTAGACTTTGGTGAAGAGGGGTCTAATAACAGCCTACAAAAAACTGGGAAGTGACAGAGGCAATGGAGTGGTGTGAGAGGATTTAATAAGGAGCAACAGTCCTGTTTGCAGCTTTGGAGATTCAGAGTGGACATGAGAAAAGACTTTTTCATCAAGAGATTGGGTCAACCCTGCAACAGGTCACCCAGAGAGGAGGTGGTGGCTCTGTCCTTGGGGGTTTTCAAAGCTGAGCTACAGATAGCCATGGCTGACACAGTGACCTAGTGTTGGTGGCGGCGTCCTGCTTCAGGAGAAGGTCAGACTGGACACCTGCAGAGACCTCTCTCTACCAGTGCTTCATTTATGTTGATTTTCTGATTAAAAGAAAAAACAAGCATGAGTGCTATGAACTACTAAGCTACTGTATGCTATGACAGATCTCTGAAAATGAGATGGGATGGCTTTTTGACCTGCCCTTAGAAAAGAGACACAGAATTAGACAGATTGCATCTTTGAGATACTTTAGGGTGGCTGACAAACAGGCCCGTAATCCACAATCTTATCTACCCTTATGTGCAGAATAAGCAGGTCACAGTAAACAATAATAAATATTTCTCCAATTCTTGATGAGGGTGTATTTTTGACTGAAATAGAGGAAATGCAGCTGGTAGGCGCCCTGGGGAGGCTTTCCTGCTTGTCCCAGTGCCAAGGCAAGGTTGAATATTCACATGGTATCCTTGGTAGCTGTAGTGGGTCTAGTGCTGGCCAAATGCTAGTGCACCCACTAGAATTATTTACTAATTTTCTGCTGCAATATAAGGATTAGGAGTAGAGCAAGGCAGGCTAAAAGGGTATAAAGAAAATTTTAATAACAGAATTAAAAGAAAAAATAAGAAGAAAATCACAATAAACCTTCAGAACACTTCTCCTCCCCCCACACCCTCTTTTCTTTCCCACTGACAATGTAAAGAGACAAAACCTGGGACTTTCAGTCAGTTTACCACCTCTAAAATAGTCTTTCTTCAGTTCACTTAGGGAGAGGAGTCTCTCTTGCCATGCCATGGAGACTTCTCCATAAGAAACAGTTCTTTCTTGGCTTCAATGTCACAGCAATTCAGCTGCCCAGGGAAGGAAAATGTTTGCAGTGTGAAAGTCCCTCTCATGCTCTTCAGCTTTCCCACAGCTGCTTTCATGGGCCACGTCAACTTATTGGGGTGCTATTCTAAGGATGAGCTGTTCTAGCATAAAAATAGAAGTTCTCTTCATCCATCCCTGGGAACAGAGGTTTTCTTCTTCTGTTTCTGGGGCAAGGTTTCTCATCTCTCTCATCTCTCTCATCTCTCTCATCTCTCTCATCTCTCTCTGTTCAAGTTTCTCTTTGGATCACAGCTACTGCAACATCTGCTTATTTCAACACTGATGCTTCTGCTCACAGCTGTAGTTAGTTTCCCTTAAATGCATTCCATGAATTACAGGGAAAAAACAAAGTCTGATATAACAAATATGTATCTTCACTGTAGCCTTACAAAAGAATTTCAGCCCAAGAGTAAAGCATCTCCTCAATCCCCTCCCATCTAGAATTTGACTCCTTCTTCACTGATCTCAGTGTCCCATGTTGTTTTCTCTACGTGTCTTCACCCTTTCCTTTTCCTGATTCAGGAGAGAATTGGTGTTCCTAGGTTCATTTGTTCTCAAGTTTTATCAGTTGAAACAGTTTTTATATATTTCTGCAGTGCTGAAAGGTTGATCTCATCCAGGCTCTGTGTCAGAGAGATCACTCGCCATGCCTCTCGCTGCTGGTCACTTGGTCTCAGCTGACACTGTGTGAGCTGTGCCAGCTGTCGGCTCCACTCAGCGCTTTTTGCCATGAGGAGCACCGAAAACAAGAGAAGCTGACACTGTTTTTGTCCTTCTGTCTGCAGCATGGCTGGCTAAAAGCGGCCAAACAAACTAAGTCCATTGCAAGCCATGCTGAGATAGCCACAGCTGCACACCTCTGTCGTGGTAGCACCAATTTTGGCCATGCAGTCCCGGCCATGTGGTCACTCCCGGTCCAGGTGGCAGTGGCTATGTGGCCGCTCCTGGCTCCAGCCACTCCTGCCCTCTTGGCCCGCCCCAGCACTGACCACGAGGCCACTCCTGGCCCTCCAGGGTCGCTCCTGGCACCAGTATAGCCTCTGCTGGCATGGCCTGGTGGCACTGCTGGGAAAAGGACTGGTGGGCTCCCCGGTGAAGGGCTCAGCAGCCCGCTCATCACTCCTCGGGGCCAACTTGGCCATGTGGGGCCAGCCCTGAAAATCACTTGTTTGAAGGCTGGAAGCCAAGAGAGCCTTTCCCGGGCTTTGTTAGTTTTTAAATGTGTTTTTCCACAGAGTCATGTTCAACTCTTTTAAGTGCTTTAACCAGCTTTCAGTCTTCAAACCTAGCCAGCTGATTGGCTCTGCCAGATCTCCACAGGGAATCACTCCCCTAGCTGAAAACCAGATGTCATTAAACCATGACAGAAGCCATTCCCTGCTCTTCTAGACCTTCTGTGCAAGAGAATTCAAATCAGCTTCCTAAGACAGTGATCCCAGAACACCCAGTGCATCCACTTCCCTGTCCACTCTAGGCCTTAACCCTGGCTACCAGCCAGGGTATCTGTTTGTGGGGTCATGGTTTTGTTATTGATACTCCTAATGGACAGACAAATGTCCATTAACAACTAAAATGAAACTCTCTGATAATTTCCTACCAACACAGGTTGAGTCCTACAATTTTAAATATATTCAATTAAGCATCCTAGCTTTGAATAATTCAATTTTAAATAAATTGTCTGAAGGGGAAGGGTTTGTAGAACAGGATTATCTGTGTAAGTCTTACCTGGAACATTTCTTTCTACAAAATTGATTCTTCTTTCATTAAAGAATAAAGCTGCTGAAATCTGTCGCTCCCTGCACTGCAGTAACCCACACCTCCTGTATCTTTCCTGAGCAGAGAGCTGCCATGTGCACAGGGAAGTGCTCGAAGTGCATTGGGATCACCCTCTTCCCACTGGCAGTATGTGCCATTGTCTCCAACATCCTCCTGTACTTCCCCAATGGACAAGTACTGCAGCTCAGCGAGATCACTGATTTGGTCTGGTTTTTCCATGGCATTCTGGGAGCTGGCATACTGGTAAGAGATGAGTGTGTCTTGTGAGTTTTGTTCTGTTTTGTTTTAAATTTGGGGCCAAGAAAACCTCCATTTAAAAAAAAAGGTCATAAAAATGTGTTTTGCATAAACATGTGAACAGCTTAAATGAGAAGTTGGGTATGAAACTGAGAAAATGCATTTAAGGCAAAAAAAGTGCCTAGTCAAAGAAATACAAAACATTCCTGAAATAAATATCTGGACTCCAAGTTAGGAAGAAGCACTAGGCCTGACTGCTCACTGTGGAGAAGAGTTACACAAGTGTTCATCCTCCAAAACTTAAAGCAAAGCTGAGGTCCTAAGCTCAGCTGGAAGTGGTGAGTTTTCACTACTGTCTGCACCCCCATGTTACTCCTCCAACTGATTTTATGTACACACATTTGGGAAAAACTGAAACATGTTTCAGCAGGTGTTAGTTTGAGACCCAGCTAACACTTTACAAATGTGGAGTTGCAAATGGCTTAATAAGCTGAATGCCTCCTGTTCCCACACTCCCACTCACCTTCTTTTGGGTTGGATCTGGTTTGAATGTGCTCTTCTATAACTAGTTCTGCATTCTGGGTCTCAGGAAAGATCACTTTTATGTGAATATCCGTGGCTAGAAGGGAACATGTTAGGGTCTACTTATCTTTCCAGTTCATCAGACAGCCTGCTCCCTTTATGCTCTTTCAATTATCTACCCCAGTGCAGTTAAAAAGCTGAGCAAGTAACATATATGATCATTACTGGGCAGATGGCAAACTGGCACAGAGCTGGCCAAAAACTAAAAGAATGTTTAAGAAAAATTAACTTAGAAAAAAGTAAATCTCATTCACAGTCTGACTATGATGCAGCTGCCACTTAAGTCTATGGAAAGCCTGCATGAATCTGCTTCATACTCATAATTCCCAAAGCAGAAACATGGTATAAGATCATTCAATAAACTGTTCTCCACCAGCAGCTTGTCTGCTTCTTCCTGTGGCTACCACTTGGGCTTATTACTCATGCTGTGCTTGAACATAAGCATGAGCTTGTAGAAGGAGGAAGCAGAACTACATGAGAGACCTTGTGGAAAATTCGGATCACTGCAAGCCCAGGAGTCATTGGCGTTCAATGAAAGGAAAGGCAGGTGTTAGACGTGAGAGCATCATCAGCTCGTTGAAAACGCGCCTTCTTTTAAGGCTTCCACACAGAGTTGCCCGTGGCCAGCACCACATACATCAAAAATGAGAACAGCTAGTCAGAGGAAAGGAAAAATTTGCATTGACCTTCAAAACATGGCATTAGGAGTAATTATTGATCCACAAACAATGCTGTTGAGTGTACACGTTTTCCAGAAAACAGCATGAGAAATGCCCACAGGGTAAGGGGAAAGAAAGCATTATCATCAGCTCCATCTTCCAGGTGCTGGAAGCATGAGAAAATGAAGATTGGCTTCTTGGTGTCCTAAGGAGTTAAAACAAGGAACAGGATGTCTCACGACTGGAGTCTGGTCCATATCCTGACACTATAGTGAGGAAAGATGAAGCTGCAATACATTCCTCCATGCACCTGGCTTCCTCCCAAAGGAAACTGAGGCAAGTCATGCCAACAGGTTGCTTGATCTTGGAGAATCTCCCCAACAACTAGGACACAGCCTCCAGAGTCAAGACTGTGGGAGAAATTTCAGAACAGCTTGGCTTAGCTCTGTGGGCCAGTAAACCTCCTTCCACCTGGGAATTTAATCTATAGGCTGATACATAGATCATCAGCACGCTCTTTGGCTGAGTAGCAAGCTCCACCCTTTCCTCCTCCTCTGCTGAATCTCAATAGAAATTATAAGACATGAAAACCTCTCAATTTCCTTATTTCAAATATTCAGGATGCAAAGAGAGTAAGACTGGCTCTATGTGTCATAGTAATATCTTTCCTCATGGAACACAAGGAAATGCCTGACTGAGCCATGGCTCACACGCAGCTCTTGTTTTACTGACAGCAGCCAAACCCAGCAAATTCTCATTCCCATGTCAAAAGGCAGGTATTTATAATCAGGCACTGCATAAAAAGAAAGCTGCCAAGCAAACCCTTCATCCTGAGCCAGGCTATAGATGGCACAAAAGTGTTTGCCGCTTAGATTGGAAACCTCGAAAGAAAAATTACAGCCCTGAAGGAAAAGGAGTGTTGGTTTGATGGGCAGAGGTATTAACTCTTCTTCTAAGTGCTAGATAGTTGAACACTGGGGCTGAGGCTGCCTTGGGGACCGATTTGTGATTATTTAAGAGCTTTCTTTGCAGGAAGAGGAGCACCTTTTTAACCTCAATGCTCTACTTCTGCAGGCTTCCAGATGTGGTCCAGCCACCACTGCAGGTGCTGTAGGTTGCCTCTGGGGTGTGCATAAAAGGCAGCAGAGAATAAATCCTTTGAAAAATATTTAGGAGCCTACAAAGCTAAGCAAGTTTCATAACACTGTCCCACACTGTTCAACAGAGATATTCACACTACACACATAAATTCTGTGGGCTTTGTTCATCATGGTCATTATGCTCTTCCTGTCCTTCTTGAGAAGAAATCTTGCCAGCATCTAATCAGGCCATTTTTACAGTTTTTACCTTTTTTTTTTTTTTAATTGATTGGTTGGTTAATTGACTGATTGATTTGGGTTCTCCTCCTTTTATTAACTTTATGGTAACCATTTCCTACTTTCTTAAATACTTCTTTACTTGTTCTGCTCTTTGAGATGTTTTAACCAGCACTAGTGTGTGGAGACAAGGCAGTGGGAGTGTGCTGGCTGCACAGCCAGACCCACAAAAGCTTTCTTGCCCTCTGGCTACCAAACTAAAGGCAACTTTTCCTAACTCCAGAGTGTCTGTAAGGCAGCATTATATCCCGAATCATAGATAGTTACTGACTGTATTGCATTGGTCCAGCTCCACTTGATAATTACCACAGAAAAAATTGACATGAACTGGAAGTTCCTGATTGACTGAAGTCAATCTTGTAGGTTTTCCAGAAGTTTAGCACAAAAAACCCCCAAAAAATAAACCCAAAACCAAGGTCAGATCCATTTCAAAGAGATCAAGACTGATTTCCTAATAATAATCCAGAGCAGAATGGTCAGGAGGTTTAAACTGACATAATTTTTAGTATAGCTATGCATCTTTTCTGGGCAGAAATTTCATTTTCTCAAAACTGACACATCTTTTCCAAACAAAAAAACCTGAACAATACTGTGCTGCACCTTTTTATACCCTGAAGAAAGCAGTACAGCTTCAGCAATCAGAATTAATGTACCAGCAATTTGCCAGACAGTTCTAGCTGTAATCCCACACTAATTTCTGAGTAACTCTTCAGCAGCACCAACATCGAAGCAGGTGTAACTTCCAGAGAAGAGTCAGAAGGAGACTTATATTTAAAGAACATGATGCTCAAGCTCTTAGAATTTGAAAACCACCCCAGCAGAAGTGCAGCACACCAATTCAGCCTGTGCTTTTCTTACAGGTTATTTTGCCGGCATTCATGATGCTGGGAGCAGGTGGAGCAGGATGTTGTGCTAACAGATGTGGGGTAAGTGGATATTTATGTGTTGAAATGGCACTACAGAATTTGTGCAATAGCTCTTCAAATGGCTGCTCAGCAGGTGCAAATGTGCAGTGACAAACCATCACACCACTGTCAGCAGCCATGTCAGGGAAACGTAGAAGAGGAGCTTGATCTACAGCGTCCCTGGGCTGGGGCTGAGAGCTCAGTTAGCCAACAGGAACGTTATGATGCTGCAGCTGCTGATATGAGGGAAATCAGCCAGGGACAGTGCTGGAGCCCTTAGACACAATGCTGAGGGCAAAGGGGACTACAGCACATAAAGTAAAATGTGGCTCCAGCTTTCCCTGTTCAAGGCAATCCTAAAGACTGAGACAGCTGCCTGTTCCTCCTGCTTCCACAGAGTCCTGTTTCCTCCATACCCTTCCGTGGCAATCTGCTTTTCCACAGGTTCATCCCTGCTTTTCTCTGTAGGGACACACAGGTCCCCTATTTGCAGATCCATGCCAAAAGCATGAGCTGCTGCATCTGGCACCAAGGAGCCAGCACTGCTTCCTGCAGTTCTGACCAGGAGCTCACATGTGCCCAAATGTTATGCATGTGAAATGTGAAAACACAGTTTAGGCTCTCTGACATCTAAAGAAAGGCTAGAGAGATTTTCTTCCTTGATAATTAAGAATATTATAAAGCAATGTTATAAAGGCATTCATCCTCAAACCCTGGGCAGAGACTTCTGTGTGACTATCACTATTGGCAAGAATAAATTGACTTGGAAATTTTTTTGAGTCTGCATCCTTCCCAGAAGCAGCCTGGAATGAGAGATTCCATGCAATAAAGCATGTCTCTTCTGTACTCTTCAATTAATATTTAGTCTGGTCCATGAGAAAACCTTTGCCTCTTTAAAACATTTACTTAAATAAATTCATTATTCATAATACCAAAATAGCATTCTTTATTAGGATGTCAGCAAGCACATCCCAAAGGACATGCTATTACATTGATTCTACCAAATGTCACATGCACAGACAGGATGCTAACACTGGCCAAGCAGCCAGTTGCAGAGCTGGGGTGAGATCCTAGGCACCCTGCAAACAGTGCCTGAGCCAGCTGCTTTCCTTAATTTTGAGTGACATAGAAAGCAGTGATGAAAGACAGCCACTGTAATGTTTCCTGCACTCACTGAATCTGGTAAGTCACAAGGGGAAACCCAGCTGAATTGGGCTGAGGTCACAAAACATCTCAGGTGTCTCTTCTCCATCCTTCTTCCCAGCCATAAATATTACAGAGCTAAGAGTCAAACTTCCCCAGGCTGGCTGGGTTCACCCCCCAGCCCAACACAGGCAGTAGCACAGTGTCATCCAGCAGCCCACATCCACAGACCCACCACAATCCTCTGTTCTCCTCCTCCTCTTTCACTGTCTGAGCCGTTCCTAGCAGCAGTGCATCAATGCCAGATACCCTGTCTGCATCCCAAGATATCCCAGATACCCTTCCCATCACTGATTGGTTACCTACAAGCTGTTTCTCCTCTTCTTTATTTGCTGTTATGGAGGAATAAGATAAATGTTAAGAAAGTAAATTGATTATGCATATGGTATGTGGTATTTTGTAGAATCAGGAAAATCACAGAATCATTAAGGTTGGAAAAAACTCCAAGTCCATCAAGTCCAACCTTCAAATGAATACCACCATGCCCACTAAACCATATGAGGAAGTGGCTGATGGCCAAGTGATGAAGCTACTCAAACCAAACTGGAAAATAGGCTCAGTGAGGACAGTCTATCTATGAAAATGCTGTCTTTTTGAACACACACCCCTCTGGAGTCATACACTCTGTCAGGTAGACAGGGTGAAGCCCTACCCCCTATGTTTTAAACAGACTGTGGCTCAAAGTAGGGATGAGATGGGGACACGAACCAAGAGTGAGTGGCTGCAAACAACATTCAAAACAAGTTTACCCTGCACAGCTCCTGGGGAAGTGTGTTTTCCAAACATTCAAAAACAGTGAGTGAGTGTTACAGGGAGATCTGAAAGCTGATGATCTGATTTTTCAAGGGAAGAAACCTCAGGCAAAATTTGATTTGTGGAGAGTGGAAGAAAATGCACAGACATCCACAAGCAGGGGTACTCAGATGTCCTGACTACAAGGGCTGTATATGCAAGAGAGGGTATGGTGTGAGGCCCTGGAGAGCAGAGGACTCCTGAGATTGGTTCAAACTTTCACAATATCAGCAACCTCCCCAAGTGCCAGAGCTCCTTGGGAGGTGGGTCTGGATGGATGTGCTAAGGGGTCCCCAGCTACTTCCACCTACTGGCAGAGAAATAGCCCTCATGGAACTATTCAGGAGCCTCTGTAATCCAAAGGCTAGTTTGGGCACCTTTCTTCTTTGGAGAGCTTAGGTATAAATTGATAACTTGCACTGAATACTCAGAATTGCTTGTCACAGTAAAGAAAAACAAAAAACAACATTAAACATTATTACTGATCAGAATTACTGTTCAATCAAAATGTAACATTTTCCTCAAGGCAGGGACTGTTCTATTTTATTTTGTGCAATTCCTGGTTTAATGGTTTCAGACTTCATCAAAGCCTTTACACACTGCCAAAGTACCTTCAACAGTAATAAAAATTACTATGTTTCTCATTCACTTTGGTGAGCTTTCCAGTTCTCGGTGATTACATGCTACAGTAAGTTTTTTCATTAATCAGCTTTAAATTACTGCTTACAAACATACATCAATGGCTTCTTGTCCTTGCACTATGGAGCAATGAATTTGGAAAGTAATAGATTTATAAGGCTTTAGTGTCTTGCAGCTTAACACGTACACATCTGAAATAATCCACTGCACTGACATGATGAGAAAAAAGGCCCACCCAAAATACAGCTTTTCCCATTGCATCAGCAAACATATACTCCAGTATTTAAGTCTTCCTTAAGAGTTACTAGTAGAACAAGAATAGCCACAGCAACTTTCCAGACAACAGACCTAAGCAAAGACATCCAGATAAGCAGACAGAATAACTATTCAATCAAAAAAACCCCAAAATTAAAAAACCACTTCCAGACAAAGAAACAGAGAAGAAAGAAATGTGTATGGAACAAGAACCAGGGTAAAAAAGAGCAACACAAGCTGGGACAGGAGGAACTTGGTAACTTCACCAAAGTAGCTGATGCAAACATTCAAATAATGATTTCTAAGAATCTTCATCAACTCATCAGGGACAATTGAATTGTGTGAAGGATAAAGCAGGGAAAATCAGAAAAAAAATATCAGCAAAACCTTTTCAGGAGTACAGAACAGGTCAACATAATGGGAAACAAATTTCAACACACTCAAGCATCCCAGCTTAGGCCTCCTGTTGCAATTAAGGACACAAATGAGGAAATGAAATATTTCAACGAGAAGTACAGCTAGGGAAAATGCTGAACGTTTGAGATGATGAAATGGTTAATAAAAGTCTTGGATTTTCAAAGATTACGAGGCAAACCTCCAGAAAAGTCTCCAGATCAGTAGACAAAATGGGGAAATGCCCCTGCATGTCTAGAAAATGCTGAGGAGAGCCAATCTAACAGCTGCAACAACTTCAGACTCCTCTTTCGGTGACAAGTCTCTGTCTAGATGATCTTGTACACAGTAAGGGAAATAGTTGGGATGAGGCTATTCATAGAGTCAACAGATTCCAAATGAGACAATCATGTGACAGAGCACAGTCATCACAGATGGCACCGACAAGTACTACTAGTACTAACTGCTATCACAAAACATTGTAACACCAAAAGATCATTTGACTTTTTCTTCATAATTATCTTTGAGATGCCCTACACTGCTATGCTGTACTAAAATGAATTGTTAACATAATTAAGGTCCTTCAACCAAGAAGCAGAATGCACAGTTGAAGAAAATGAGAAAACAAGTGGGGAAAAGTGATTCAGAATAGGTAGGAGTTTTAAAGACAGTATCAGTCACTCACCTTCACCACAAGGCATGGTTGGTGATCTTATTATGAGAGACAATGCATCAGCTACAACCCAGACACTTCCAGGACGACTAAATTACCTACATTTTGCTGACAATGGAGCTCTGCTAAGAGGCAATTCAGCCAACATGCAGATAAAGACTAAAGAAAGAGTATCCAGCTTTGCAAGAAAAGACTGAGTTGTTAATCAGTTAGGATTAAATAAATCCCATGAGAAATCCCAGCAATTTTTAACTCAAGAATTACTTTAGAGTCAAAACAACACACAAAATTAACCAATTCACACACCAGCATCGTGCAAGGTTCCACAGAAAGCAGTCGACTGGCAAGCTGGAAACTGCATTCTCAAGCTTGAATGTGTTCAGACAGTGAATAGCCTTTTCAAGGCTTTGTCAAAAAACTCCAACATGAATGGTGGATATTTCCATTTGACTCTGTAGTGCAGTGATCTGTGGAACAACTGGGACTAGGAGAAGGTTTGTACCTGCCTTGTGGGCTGGTGAATTTCACCTGGTATTTGCTGGCAACAGGGAATTATCAGACTTGAGATATTTGGCTTCAAACCTGAGTCATGGATAAGAGTATTCTATAAGCGCTTCCTTGGTCATGCCACTGCCCTGAATTTAAGGCAGGTCTGCTGCCTTCTCCCTGCTCCGGGTCTTCTCCTGGCTCTATCAGTCTGCTCCAGAGTTTCTTCCCTCACTTGGCAGAGTTGTGAACAGCCACAAGCAGTGATTCTTAACAAGACTATTGGGAAGCCAGTCCCAGATGCACTACTAGTAACATTCTCCTGCAATTTTTGTTTCTATAGACAAACAGCAACTGGATACATCCCATTCATTACTAGAAAACTACTCCTACTAGAATGGAGTAAAGGTAACATTTCTGTGGGAGTGGCTGGTGTAAAACATAAGTGCATTACATACAATTTGAAGTCACTTCTGGTTTGTTGCCACATGCAACACAATTAGATTTCTCAACAGGAGAAGTGGTAATCACATGTCATGATGTTGCAAAATGAAGGAAAGCAGCAAAAAGAAAGGCTCTTTTGCATTCCATCAATTAGCAAAAGCAATTAACATATCTTCTGTTGCTTTCACACCTGGTTGAGTATTTGCTTTTCTCTGTTGGTGCAAGGGCCAAGAAAGGTGAAGAGTTGGAAATGCCAAGGCACATGATACAGAACAGACCAATCCAGGACTGGCCTCATACTGGCTTTTGAAAGAAAACTCACCAGATTTTTCACAATTGATCGCTTAGGCATAAAACTCTGAGTAAGTTTTTTAACATCTAGGGCAGCTACAACAGTCAGAAAAAGCTATTTTTTATTCCCCCAAATTTAATAGCAGTAGTATTTTCAGCACAAAGGAAGTGACAAGAAAGAGAATTCTTTCTCCTTCATTGTGAGCTCTCTATGCTACTCAAACCTCTGTGCACACAATGCTGAAGGTCTTTTCCCTTTTAGATGCTGCTGTCAGTGATCCTGTCTGTGCTGGGATTTGCAGGAGGAGCATATTGTGTGGTCATCTCTTCCTTGGGGCTGATTGGGGGTCCTCTGTGTGACACAGGTGATGGAGAATACCTCTATCCTTTCAGGAATGACACTCTAGAGTGAGTATGGCTGACAGGCTCCTCCAGTTTTGCTTTCCCTGATCCCTCCCCTATCTTTTTAAAGTGAACTTGGGTTCTTTTCCAAAATGAACTGATGGTTCACCCTGTGTCCACCTAAACTCACACTTCTCTGAGTAGCATGTTCCAGCTGGTCATCTCTTTGACCAAGGAATCATCCTTGTGCAAATTGACTGAGTTTCATATGCTGTGCTTGCCACAAACCCCTTGTGCAATTTGCACCATGCTTTCAAAACGCCTGTGAGCTGTGACTCCCACTGGAGTCAAAGGGAAATGTTTGCTTGCTGTGCCACATTAATCTGTTAAATTATCAAGAATTCAGCCAGCTCCACCCACTTCTGAAAAGCAAAGCAAAAATCTTCCTTAAAGTCAACCTTGACAATCATGCTCTTCAAACCAGAGCTAGAGATAATGAATGGACTGGGCTGAGATAACACAGAAGGAATGGAGAATGTGGAGACACATTTAAAACTATTATAGACCTTTCTCTTTAGTTATTAACATAATTTTGCCATATAACAAAGAGGAGATTCTTGTGCATGCAGCAAAGTACAGATGTGGCTCTCCTCCCTAATTATCAGCAAAGGAAATTCTGGGGAGGATCACCAGCTTTGAACAATTATAGCACCATCTAAGACTCACTTTGTGCAATCAAGTTGAGAAAATAAAATGCCAGAAAACACAGAAAGCATTCTCAAGTTTTTACTTTCTAATACCTTGCCATTTATTTTCCTCTGTCACAGAGACAATTATTTGTTTAACCAGACAACATGGAGTATTTGCAAACAACCTGAAAACGTCATCCTTTGGAATATCGTCCTTTTCTCTATTCTCCTGGTCATTGGTGTGATTGAAGCTATTCTTTGTTTCATTCAAGTCATCAATGGACTCACTGGTTTCATATGTGGCACATGTATGAAGAGAAGAAAGGTTGGTATGCATTAAAAGGGTGCTTTACGTTCTTTCCATTTTTATTTTTCAGGTTCTGGTCATGGTACATGAGATGAGAGATGTGCACAGTCCCCGGACAAGCTCCTGTGGGCAGTACAGATATATTTGCACACTCTCTTTCTGTCTGTCACATTATAGTCAAGGAAAACCTGGTCCTCAGATTTTTCTAAACAGCAAACCAGTATGACATATTGACATACTCATTGCATGGTTCTGTTCCTATTTAAGAAGCCTTTTTGATAAAGTGAAATGACCCTCTCCAGCATTTGTGAGAGACAAAAAGTAGAGATATTTTAAATTGGTCAAACATAGTAATATTGTTATTTTATAGAATGGAAGAAAACATCTTCCAAATTTCATTTATCACTATTGCTTCCTTTTCATCGTTTATTTTCATTGTACAAGATATTTGCAGTAAGTCAGATAACCCCTGGAATATTAATTAATCATCTTGCATTAATTGCCTTTCAGACAAATATTTCTGGAATGTGAATGACCTACAAGGAATGCCAAGACAAGCCCCGAACTGCCAATTCACATACAATAAGGATAGTGTACTGTACTGTTTTATTTATGGGGGACAACAAAAAAAAAATGTTCAGATGTTTCACAGGGCAAAATGATTTTTTTATGAAGAAGTCGGGGTGGAAAAGGGCTAGATCATTTCAGTCTGAGCCTCCACATTTTCATTTCTCTAAACATACCTGCTAAATCTCAGGTACTGGCAAAAACATTAATCTATCTGGCTCTTACTGCTGTACTTGTGTATAAAGCACAACAGTTCTCAGATAAAAGATCATCACCTGCCCTCTCATGTATGTGAGAAATGCAGCTGTTGTTAATGTATACATTTATCAGCTGCATGAAGCAGATGCTCTCTGGCTGATGTAAATAATGTCCCGTCCTCCCCAGATCCCACCGTGAGCTCACCTGTCTGTTCCTATTGATATTCGAGTGGGGCACTCACAGATTTGAATGAGGATGAGCAGAGAATATACCCAGCAGGCAATTGAAGAACATGGTTTTCAGCTCCTTTCTGCCACCCTGGAGCCAGATCCCCTTGCCAAAGCCCAGTGCACTTCTAAATCAGTTCTTCAGGAGCATCTGAGATTTGTGGCAGCCTTAGAGGAGCATTTGGGTCAACACAGACAGTAGGGTTTGCAGCAAGAGTTTAAATTGTCTGGTTCGACAAAAGGCTGAAGAACCTCACCACCAGTTTTGCCTTCATGCAACTGCCTAAGAATTTCACTAACTTCCACACAGGTCTGTAGGGCAATTCTAGAATAGAGCATACAGATCAAGGAATTAACTCACCAAAGATAAACAAAGATAAATGTAGTAATTATGTGCAGCTTAGTAATAAGTAGAAGATATAATCTGAAGGCAGCAGGTTGCATCAGCTTTAGTATTTTAGCAACAGTAATACCAACCAGGAGCTGCATAATTCCCCATCATCACTCAAGAGCCAGCTCTTGAACTTGAGCTAATGTCCATGACTGGGAAATTCCAGAAAATTCATCATTTCAGTGACTTCCTCAAAGGTTAATTCTTGGACATGAATTGTCTTTCCTCTGTCAGCCAAACCGTGAAATAATCTTTACCCATCCTGAATGCATGTGGGCAGCTATGAAAACCTGAATATATTTAAAGCACTTGAAGTTTATTTTTCCTGATTTATGTTTTCTCAAAGTTGTCCATATTTCTGCACTGTAGCATGGGAGCAAGCTCTTTATTGCATATATACATGGCTGCTTGTGCTGTTCTCTAATGCAGCACGCAAAATGCTTCACATTCTCCTTTATATAAAATGGAGAAGAAAATGTCAGTTGCCTAGATGAGGAGCATATGCACCTTGGAACATGGTTTCACCCCTAGAAGCAGGAAATTGAACGTATAAAGCTTAAATGTCACTTCTTAAGACTTGTTGAAGTTGGCAATCCATCACAGGTGCATCCAAACCTGCCAGGTGGCTTAAAAAGTTCCTGTTCATTGCCAGCAATGAAGCATGGACAGTGCAACCACATACAGCAGACAGTAAACCAGGAAAGGAGTTAAAGGGACAGTGGGAAATAAGGATATTCACATGTAGTCAGATGGAAAAAGACTCCTTCATCAGCACAGGGGCTCTGTGAACTCTTCACAGTACCTAAATACCCACCCTCCCTCATCCCTTAGTTTTGACTCCCTGACTCTCACCTCTGGGGTAAAGCCTGTGCTTGGCTGTGCTAGCACCAGGAGAGGAAGAAATACCCACTGGCATACCTCCAGCACAGAAAAATAAGTGCACTGTGCTGCTGCCATCTGCTTGTTCCAGGCTCTCCTGCCCTGGAGATGTCTGTGTGCCCCTGGAAACACCCTCTGTCCTGCCAACTGACCACTGGCCTCACTGATATATGTAAATATTAAATATTGCTATTCTGAACTTATTTCCTGGCTTGATTTGTGTGGTCTAAAGGACTTGTGAGTTCCAACTACCTCCAATAGGAAGATAAACGGAATAACAGAGAAAGCAGAGTTAAATTGTCTAACTTGAATCACCATGAAGAAGTCTCTTCTAAGGTAGGCATCAAGATACAAAGGTCATGGGAAGAGGCAACCTTCCCCCTCCCCACACTGAAAGAGATGCCTAAGGCGAGTGGGAGGCATTGCCTTTCTGAGCAAGGTTCAGTTGTCCAGCATGGACCGGAACATCTATCCACCATGGACAGGAACATCTAGTGCCATTTGAAGTGCAGCAAAGAATCCACTCACAGATGTCCAGAGATCCAAGAGTCTTATCTGGAGCGAACAATGCAAAGGTATGGATGACCAAAGCAAACAGCTGTCTCTTGCAAACGCAAGGATGCTGAAAATGCATTTAGTGAAAATACATAAAGGTGACTAAAATTAGATGAAATTGGATCCACCAAATCACCTTTTACATGAGTCAAAGCCTGTCCTCTCAGAAGTGTCACCAGAGCCTTCTCCAGGAGCTGGCCAGCACATTGCAACAGGAGCAGCTTCTCACGCTGAGCAATGCAGGGAGACCTGCAAACCCAAGCTCTTTTGGTGGTCAAGGCTTCAAAAGAAAATGTCTACATAATATTAAATTTAATAAAAGCTTTGATTTAAACAGAGAGTTGCCTTGACTGAAGATATAGTGCTTCAGAATTAGGGTTACTACAGATTTTAAGTTATTGGTTTGGGTTTTTTTCCCAAAATGGAAAGAACTCTTTCAGGGACATTTCCTAGCAAAGGAAAAGAGTAATTTTGTCCTTGAAATGTTTTTTGTATTGTATATATGAAGAACTTAGTAAAACTAAGGAACTCATTCTTCTATAGCTAACTTTTCTCTGTATTCATCCATCCATCCATCCATCCATCCATCCATCCATCCATCCATCCATCCATCCATCCATCCATCCATCTTTTCCATACCTTTCAACTTTAAATAATTCATAGTCAAAACTTACCCAGACATAAAGACAAAAATATTTGTGTAATTTTTATATTAATTCACTGTGCAATCACACTACATAGGCTGTGATTTAAGGACTTAAATATGCTGGGTTTGCATCAAATTATCCCTCTCTGTTCTGCATTTGAAACTCCTGCAGGAGATCAGCCACTTGCAATTAGGGCTAACTTGGGATAGGAATAAAAATTTAGACCAAGGATGTCATCTGAAAAATGTAAATTTTTGGAGACCAACAGCCCCACGTTTCTGCTGTCAGGATCAAGGACACAGTCCAAACACCTGGGATGGACGCCACAGACTAGTTCATACCCTCTCATTTAAAGAGGAATTGTCAGTTCATTTTGATGCAAATGGCTTAGATGCCTCAGGCCCTGGCACTCAATGTTCTCAGTTTTTTTGGTTTGCAGAGCAAAGTAAACCAGTGAGAGGTTGATCCTTCAGAGTGCCATGGCCTCTGCTCTACTGTCCCTGTCCCAGTCCTGTGTCTCTGCTCCCAGGTGAACTCTTCTGTACAAACAGACTTTAGAAAATCCCAAAGGGAATTAAAAAAACCCAAAACCTTTCCAGACTCTCAGAGTGCTTTATTTAATCTCCTAAAGCGCACCATCTCTTCGGGCTTGTCCCTTTCCAGAGGAGTGACAGCCACCCTTCAGAAATGCCCTTCCCTGTAGGACCTCTCACCTGGAAGCACTCCTTTTGTCCTAAGCCCAAGGGCCACAGAGAAAACTCATCAGCAATAATGTAGCACATTTGACCCAGAAAGGCAGAGCAAAGGCATGGTCTTAGGCACAGAGGCCATGCTCTGTCCATCTTTATTTCTTCCTGTGGGGTCAGCTTCAAAGCTGGGTAGCTCACACTGTAAGTGCTCACTACAGGGCAGATCATCTCTACACAGAAATGCATAGAAAACTTCACTGGTACACAGCACTCCTCACTTTCTCTGTTCTTAACAACAACTCATGTCAGAGTCTGTTCCATCAAGGTCAACTAATAAGGTGTAAGAGTTAAGAGGTCAGATGAAGAATGGTTTGAGTTAGAAGGGACCTTTACAATCACCTAGTTCCACGCCCTGGCACGGGCAGGCACACCTTCCACTAGATCAGGTTGCTCAGAGCCCTGTCCAACACAGCCTTGAGCACTTCCAGGGATGGGGCAGCCACAACTCCTCTAGGCAACCCATGCCAGTGCCTCAGCAGCCTCACAGTAAAGAATTTCTTCGTGATATCTAATCTAAACCTACCTTCTTTCAGTTTAAAGTCAATACTCTTTGTCCTATCACTACATGCCCTTGTAAAAAGTTGCTCCTCAGCTTTCTTGTATTCCCTTCAGGTACTGGAAAGAACTTGTATCTCCTAAGCTTAGAACCATTGGAGATACACTAGAATATCTTGGCTGCTGTTCCAGGAGGGAAAGGTGCTTCCAACAGGGGCTGTAACCTCTGCTTGGCCAAGTGGACATCTCAGAGGTTTTACAGCATCTCAGGTGACACCAACCATCTCTATGTGAGCATTGCAATCAAGCTCTGAAACATCTACTGGGTACAGTGGCACTGCTCTTAGAAGTAGCCCTGAGTTCATCAGTCTGAGACCTGTGCTCACTCTGTCCTGCCTCACAAGACTAGAAATAGGTCAGTCAATCACCTCCTAAAATTTCTCCCCATGGGAGCTTGAAGTGAGCAGCACAGGAGGTGGGACCCAAAGCTGCAGCACCCCATCATGAGCAGGGAATAAAGCCCACCTCAAAAATCTCTTCATTAGTGAGTTTTCTTTTTTTTCCCCCTTAAAATAGATGCATTAGCTGAAAGTCATTTAATGGCCAGAGAGTATAGTAACAGATTCAGTGAGGAACTGGTCTTCTTGGTATAAACTTGTATTTTTACAATCCTTCTTCCTTGCACTGTATACCAGCAAAACCATTCCAGATTCAGATGAACTACCTTGCACATCCTCTTTCTCTAATTCTCCTTCATCCCATCATGTAATGTTTTCACTTACATTGTGTCCTACCACATCTACCCTCCACCCCTCTGAGTCTTTAAATGAAGTTTCTCTGGAGAATTTTATGCCTGACAATTTTTGGGGTTTTTCCTAAGAGTTGAAAAAAAGCAGGGTCAGTCCAAACATTCTCTGCAGATGTCAAAGAACAAATTCAAATCCTGCTTTGGGCATGTTGAATTTATTTGTCCCTCACATGAAGGGTGCAAGGTCAGGGGTGTCCTCCCAGGACTGTCTGATTGCAGACCAGGCTGAGACCTGGCAGCATTCACCCTCAGCCACATGAAAGTTCAACCTGTTCCTGTTCCTGCCTATGCTGCAAAACATTTGCTAGTAGAAAAAAAATTTAGTATGTGTACACTATTTTTTTAAAAGTTTGTGGAACACCCATTTTGAGCAAGGAAGGCAAACCAGAGAAACCAATGGTTCCACTGCCACTGGCAATGAAGCTGCAGTTTCTATGACCTTGTAGCAGGTTCATTTAAGGTGGAAGGGAGTGTTTCTAATTACCACCCCAAAAAATGTGCCTTCAAAATGTACAGTGTCCC